AGAACATGCTGTACACAACCAATATCTCTAAGTTTTAGTTGTCAATTTAAATAAATCATTCAAAGTTTAAAAGTCCACTTGTCTTAAATCTTTTTTTAAATTGTGGCAGTACTACACTTTGAACTCAGGTCCTCATGTTTGCTATGCAGTCATTATACAGCTTGAGCCACTCTACCAGTCCCTTTTTAGTATGTACTTGTGTGTGTTGAGTATTTTTGAGATAGGGTCTTGTGAACTATTTGCCCAGGCTGGGTTTGAAATTTGATCCTCCTGATCTCTGCTTCCTGAGTAGCTAGGATTACAAGCATGAGTTACCAGCACCTGACTGTCTTAAATCCTTTAGTCCCTCACTGCTGTGCTCATTAAGATGACAACTGAGCAATGTCCATTGAATATGGCACCATGAAGATAGTGAAAAGCATGGCAAAATCTCCATTACTTCCCTTCTGTGTGCCATCCCAATGCCCTTGGCCTTGCTTCTTTCTCTGGACTCTGCTGTTGCAAACCTGTGCAGGCTCAACCAATGTTGAGAACTTGAAGCTTGATGTACCTTGTCTCAAGCACACACTGTGTCTCTCTTGGCACCTTTTTTAGGACTTCTCTAAATGCCCAGTGTGGGAACTTCAGGAATATACTCAAGACCTTTGCTACTCCTTTTGCCTGGAACATTTCTTCTGCCTCTTTGTTGTGCCTTATATGTGCCTATTCAATCTTAGGATCACAGCTCAGGTTTTACTTCCCCAGCCTCCACAAACAGGTCAGATTCTCCTAAAACAATGTCATAGAGTATCATGTCCTTTTTTTAATCACAGTTGAAATCTAACCATGTTGTTATATTCAACTAACGTCCATTTATCAGTGGGTTGTGAGTTAATAAAATTGTGAATGTAATCATATAGACTCCCCAGGCCACCCAACAGCTGATAAAGTATGGAAGAGTCTAGAAGTGACTTTCAAATCTAACAGTGCACACAGGCTTAGATCTGCTTAGGTCCCTAAAGGAATATAACATTTCCTGGGTTACCCTCCAACTCTCCTTGCATTCTTGGCTTCATTGCCCCTTTGCTGTGCCTGTGTTTCCTGGTGAAGGTAGATTGAGTCTGGAAACCCATGGCTGCCTCCTCTCTACAAAGCCACATGTTTTCAAGACAAAAGTCATCTGAGAAATGTGTTTTCTGGATGTATTCGTTTTTATTGCCACATAACAAATATCCCCCAAATTAGAGGCTTCAAATGAGACTCATTTACTAGTTTAAATGTCCCCATGTTAGAATCTGGGCAGGCTTTCCTGAGTTCTCTGCTCCAGGTGGCTGAAATCAGGGTACTGGGCAAACTGTAGGGTTCTGGGTAAAAACCCACTTCTGATGTCACTCTGATTGCCAGTCAATTTTAGCTCCTTGCAGTTGTAGAACTGAGGCCCCCAGTTTCCTGGGTAGCTGTCAGCAGAAAGCCACTCTCAGCTTCTAAAGATTGCCTACATTCCTTGCCATGGGTCTCCCTTCATCTTCAAGTCAGCATAGTGCATTCAGATCATCTGAGACTTTCAATCTTTCTGCTTTTCCTTCTGCTACTAGCCAGAGAAAAGCTCTGCTTTAAAGGCTTCTGTGATTAGGTTATGCCCATCTAGACCATCTCCCATTGCAATATAATGTAATATAAACACAGGAGTAATATCAGGGGACAACAGTCATGGGACCCATCTTAAAATTCTGCCTATGCCAGTCAAAGCAAAGCCTTCTTCTAGTATGAGTTAATCTTTAAGCAGCAGCACCTCAATACTGCTGTATTTGAAAAGAACTATAAGCAACTGAAAAGGACTGACAGTCCTGCTCCATTTTGATTTTTTTCTCATCAGGAGCTGGCTTTGCCAATGGCAGTAATTATTGATCCACAGAATAATCAACATCCACATAGCAATCTTCTGTAACACTGGAGGGGCTAACATATCGGGGTGTTAGCTTACCAGACTTACATTGTAGGAGAATTTGAAAAGAATTCACTTTTCTGGTTTAACTCAACAATAAAGACATGAGTTGACCTTTGGTGGAAAGTCTAGTTTAGTAAAATTAGTCTCTATACCTAGTGAAATAAGATTTTGGGAGTTTTCTTAACCACAGCCCTTGTTCACATCAATCTATTGATTGCAGTGTATGGTTACCAAAATAATCCATTCAGTCCCCTATATGTTAAGAAATAGTCATAGAGAGCAAGGCACTCTACCAAGTACTACAGAGGATGCATCAAAGCATAGCACTATCCCCTCCTTAAAGACGTTTCAAAGTCAGCAGACAAGTAACTATTGATGCCAGCGTTCATATGAGAAGGGACATATAAGTAACAGTCATTCCACAAACAATTTTTTGAGTGCTGTCTACATTTGAGGCACTGTTCTGGCATATAGATTTCAAAAGGAAATTGTGTAGCACGATGGTCAGTGGTTCAAAGCATGGTTTTGGAATCAGATTGGCTCAATTCTCAGCACTACAACTTCTGAAAGTTACTTAAATCTCAGAGATTGTTTCTTCATCTGCAGAATATGGATAATAATTGTGCTCCAGTGAGCCTTTGTGTAGGCGGGGAAATATTTATGAAACACTTAGCAAAATACCTGACATTTCGTTTTGTTATTATTATCAACATAAGATGTCCACTTTTGGGTCACATAAGGAGAAAAGAGTACTTGATATGTAGCATTACCAGAGAGGTGTAGAAAAATTATGGAAAACACCAGTAAGAGGTATGGTTGTATAAATAAGGTGGCTTGTATATCTTGGATAAAACCACAATAGAAGTTGGGTCTGATCTGTCTTCGGGTACTGGCAAAAGATTCATCAATAGCTATGCCAATAAGTTGATGCTATAAATACATAACACGCTGTGTTGTACACTTAGTATGACCTGGAGCCAAGGGCCAGTTCACACTCAATATGATGGTGGGGCATCTTGATGGATGCCTCTGCAAAAATCTATCATCGCCATAATCTCAAATAGCTCCTTCTTTAACATTTTTTGAGGGGGCTGGAATTGGAGTTTGAACTTGGGCTTCTTGCTGTGAAGCAAGCACTCTACCACTTGAGCCACACCTCCAGTCCATTTTGCTCTGGTTATTTTGCAGATGAGGTCTCACAAACTATTTGCTCAAACTGGTCTCGAACCACAATCCTCCCGATCTCAGCCCCCCGTGTAGTTAGGATTATAGACGTGAGCCACCAGTGCCCGGCTTCCTCAACTTCTTTTAGCACCCTAAAGCTGAGCACAGTGAAAAAGTAAAATTGTTCTGAACCTAATTTGATGCAATTTGTTTAACTGCTAAGAAAATTCACACTTGAAAGCTCAAATACCCTGCAATGATTGCTACTCTAATGTGTGCTTCCACTTTTGATTTTCCTTAGGACAACATGTCCCTTTGGTCATCAATTCTGACCTGCCTTTTTCTGCTTATTTCTGGTTCCTGTGAGTTCTTTGCTGAAGCAAATTATTTTAGAAGCTATCCTTGTGATGAGAAAAGGCAAAATGTGTCTATTGTAGCAGAATGCAACAATCGTCAACTGCAAGAAGTTCCCCAAACAGTGAGCAAATATGTGACAGAACTAGACCTGTCTGATAATTTCATCACACATATAACGAATGAATCATTTCAAGAGCTGCAAAACCTTACTAAAATAAATCTAAACCACAATGCCAATCAACAGCACCAGAATGAAAATCCTGGTATGGATAAAGATGGCATGAATATTACAGATGGAGCCTTCCTCAACCTAAGAAACCTGAAGGAGTTGCTGCTCGAGGACAACCAGTTATACAAAATACCCACTGGCTTGCCCAAGTCTTTAAAAGAACTGAGTCTCATTCAGAACAATATAATTTTGGTAACTAAAAATAACACTTTGGGACTTTGGAACTTGGAAAGTCTCTATTTGGGCTGGAATTGCTATTTTGTTTGTAATAAAACCTTGGAAGTAGAAGATGGCACATTTGAAAACCTTAAAAACTTGAAGGTGCTATCACTCTCTTTCAATACTCTCATCCACGTGCCACCAAAACTGCCAAGCTCCCTAACAAAACTTTTTCTGAGCAATACCAAGATCAAAAACATCAGTCAAGAAGACTTCAAGGAGTTGAGAAACTTAAGACTGCTAGATTTAAGTGGAAACTGCCCGAGGTGTTTCAATGCACCTTTTCCTTGCACGCCTTGTGAAGGTGATGCTTCAATTAATATACATCCAAATGCTTTCCAAAATCTGGCCCAACTTCTCTACCTAAACCTCTCCAGCACTTCCCTCCGGACGGTTCCGTCCACCTGGTTTGAGAATATGATCTCTCTGAAAGAGCTGCATCTTGAATTTAATTATTTAGTGCAAGAAATAGCCTCGGGGGAATTTTTAACAAAACTGCCCAACTTAGAAATACTTGATTTATCTTTTAACTACATTAAGACAGAATATCCACAATATATTAATATTTCCCAAAACTTCTCTACACTTAAGTCTCTCAAGGCATTGCATGTAAGAGGTTATGTGTTCCAAACACTTAAGCAAGAACATTTCAGGCCCCTCATGGGTCTGCCACACTTACAGACCATAAACTTTGGCATTAACTTTATTAGTAAAATTGATTTTACCCTTTTCCAACATTTCCGCAACCTGACAGTTATTTACTTGTCAGAAAACAGAATATCACCCTTGGTAAATGATGTAGCACAGATTACTACAAATGGTTCCTCTTTGCAAAGCCATGCTCTTAAACCACGCTCAACAGATGCCAAGTTTGACCCACATTCAAATTTTTATCATAAAACCAATCCTTTAATAAAGCCACAATGTACTGCTTATGGAAAGGCCTTAGATTTGAGTTTAAATAGTATTTTCTTTATAGGGGAAAAACAATTCGAAGGTTTTCATGATATTGCCTGCTTAAATCTGTCTTCCAATGGCAATGGTCAGGTGTTACATGGAACTGAATTTTTAGCTGTGCCTCATGTCAAATATTTGGATTTGACCAACAATAGACTAGACTTTGATGATAACAAAGCTTTCAATGAACTGCCCAACTTAGAAGTTCTAGATCTCAGCTACAATTCACACTATTTCGAGATAGCAGGGGTAACCCATCGTCTAGGATTTATTCAAAATTTAACACAGCTCAAGGTTTTAAACTTGAGCTACAACAGCATTTATACTTTAACAGAGGAGAATGAACTGAAAAGCATGTCCCTAAACGAGCTAGTTTTCAGTGGAAACCGCCTGGACCTTTTGTGGAATGCTGGAGACACCAGATACTGGCCTATTTTTAAATGTCTCATGAATCTGACGCAGCTTGACTTAGCTCACAATAACCTTCATCACATTCCAGATGAAGCTTTCCTTAACTTGCCCCAGAGCCTCGTGAAACTTTATATAAATAATAATGTGTTAAATTCCTTTCACTGGACATTGCTTCAGAAGTTTCCACATCTTACCTTGCTTGATCTAAGTGGAAACAAGCTATCCTCTGTGGATAACAGCCTCTCTAGATTTCCTTCTTCTATTCAGACACTGCTATTGAGAAAAAACAGGATTTCACACCTGCCCGCTGGCTTCTTTTCGGAAGCCAGGAGTCTGGTGCACCTTGATTTAAGTTTCAACCTGATAAAGATGATCAACAAATCCACACTGCAGACTAGGACTGCCACCAATTTAAGTCTTTTGGAACTAAGTGGGAACCCTTTTGACTGTACTTGTGACATTGGAGACTTCCGAAGGTGGATGGATGAACATCTGAATGTCACGATTCCTAGATTGGTAGATGTCATTTGTGCCAGTCCTGGGGATCAAAGAGGGAAGGGTATTATAAGTCTAGAGCTCACAACTTGTGTTTCAGATACCACTGCAGCAGTGCTATTTTTCTTCACATTCTTTGTCACCACCATGGTTATGGTGGCTGCCCTGGCTCACCATTTGTTTTACTGGGATGTTTGGTTTATCTATCACGTGTGTTTAGCTAAGGTGAGAGGCTACATGTCTGTTTCCACGTCCCAAACTTTCTATGATGCTTACATTTCTTATGACACCAAAGATGCCTCTGTTACTGACTGGGTGATCAATGAATTGCGCTACCACCTTGAAGAGAGTGAAGATAAAAATGTTCTCCTTTGCTTAGAAGAGAGGGATTGGGACCCGGGGTTAGCCATTATCGATAACCTCATGCAGAGTATAAACCAGAGCAAGAAAACAATCTTTGTTTTAACCAAAAAATATGCAAAGAGCTGGAACTTTAAAACAGCTTTCTACTTGGCCTTGCAGAGGCTAATGGATGAGAACACAGATGTGATTATATTTATTCTGCTGGAGCCTGTGTTACAGCACTCTCAGTACTTGAAGCTACGACGTCGGATCTGCAAGAGCTCCATCCTCCAGTGGCCCGACAACCCCAAGGCAGAAGGCTTGTTTTGGCAAAGTTTGAAAAATGTGGTCTTAACTGAAAATGATTCACGGTATAACAATTTGTATGTTGATTCCATTAGGCAATAATTACTGATGGGAGGTCATGGTTCAACACCATAATAAAAAGGCAAAGCAATGACCATTCTCACTTAGTGATCTCTTGCTATGTAACAAATTACCCA